TCATATTCTTATTTTCTATCCTTCAACAGAGTGGTTATATCCTGCAATACTAGAATGATTTGACGAGTATTTTCTGATGGAGTGTATTCATTTAAATCATAAAAGATAAATTAGTAAACCTAGTTATGTATTAAACAAATTTTAAAGTCTTGATGTCGTTTCACTCTAAAGTCGATATACTCAATAACTCTGAAAGTATGCCATGTTTCAAAAAATTTGAATCTGTATGTGTGAAAATTTTTCAGCGTGATTAACCGTATATCCTCGCTCATTTCTGACCTTGGTACGGAATCGTAATGACGGATCATAAACAATTGACATTTTTATCACGATTACCAAATGCAACACTTGTTGTTGATGGTTCAAAATTAGAGAGACGAAACAAATAGTAAAACTTTTCGCTTCAATTTATTGTAGATGTTCGTCATGTATTCGTTCATTGTAAGTTTGCTGTCATTGTACATACTCTTAAGCTCTCATTCTTCTCATGCGGGACTTTCGTAGCCATTTAAAAGTGTTCTACCGGTTACTTCCCAGATGAAAAACGTCCGGTTGGATCCCGAAGGATCCGTTTCATCCAGACTATTTCCGGCTGTCTGACGTCTGACCGGATCCGGCGAGCGGATTTCGTTCAGTTTTTGTTCCTTCCGTTATATACCAATGTCTGGAACTAAAGTAGATTCGATCATCGGATCCTATGACCGAACCGTTTGAATCTGGTAGTCGGAAGTGAACGGATCCATTCACCTATAGTTCTTTCTTTTCTCTCTTTTCGCTCTTTTCTTTCCTTTCCTTTTGTTGCTCTGTACAATGAATAAATTCACCGATTTGTTTCTCGGAGTTTTTAGTATAAATACGACACTGAAGATATTTATAACTAAATATTAGCTTTTAACGGCTAGAAAAACTACCCGTAAATCCGGTGCTTTCCGATGCTATTTCTGACGGTCGGATCCTTTCCGTACAATTTTTGATCGGAACCTGGGCAACAGGATTTCCAATGCAATCCACCACGGATCGAGACGGATTCTGTCGAAATCCAACGTCGGATCCGGTCGGCTCCGACCGGATCCTCAGAAATGAACGATCTAGGCTGCTCAGACTATATCATCCTCACATGGGGTCTATAGACTAATGTTAAAAAGAAAAATATTAAACGACTAATATTAGTAATCAATTAAATATTTTTCCATCTTATTTAAATATTAGTCGTTTAATATTTTACTTTTTAATATTTTTCGGTATACCGCCTCACATGATTCTGAAGATCCTGGTAAATCACACATGCACTGTAAAAGTATCGCACGTTTAAACCGTGCTAACCTGACGACTTAAATGTCAAAATCTGACGCTTTGTTAAGCCTGACGTTTTATCCGTTCTAACCTGACGGTTAAAATGCCAGGTTGCATGACCTGACGGTTTAAGCGTCGGGTTTCTCTCATCGAATGTTTTAAAACGAATTATTCTCTCTTTCATGCTGAATGTTTTAACTTCACAAAAGCAAAGATTGGAACCAAAATTAGACTTTTCAATGAAAATGCATAGAAATTTAGCAGTGGAAGCAATGTGTTGCATACTGCCCTAAGGCAGGTTGTTAACTACAAACTAAATACTAACTTAGCTTTTTTCGAAATGTTCAAAGGAATCAGATACAAAACGGAGGAATCTATGACCTTAGTCGTTAAGTAGGGATAATCATTTTGCACATTTTGTAATTCTTGGATTAGTTCGCGCACTCTAGAAAGAATAGTAACCTGTCGAATCGTCGATCCTTAGAGTACACATGCCAAAGAATAACCTGAGGAATATCACAAGGTAAAACGAGTTCAAACATGATTTTAGAGGCTTGTGTACAGATATTTTTTGTTGCTGTTGTGAATATAATTTTTATAAAGAAAATAATAGAAGAAAAAAATAAACAAATATTACAGGAAAAACATCAGTAATTTGATAAGTATTTAATACACAGCATTCTGAAACACTTATCTCTTGAATGGAAAGGAATCGCCAACATCGAATTGTTTCTGTAGAATAAAATAATTACCTTTCTTGTTCACATTACTTTCTGAAGAACATTCTCAACAAACAGCAGCAAGCAAGATTTACCACAGTTCTGACGATCATCGTTGTTCTTGCAAGACAAGAAATAAATGAGGTACGTTTCCAATACTTAAGTTCTTGTTTCTAATCACTTTCATATTATGTCTTGACGTGTGTGTTTATCTGTCCGCTAATAACTTGTGTCTACGCCCTAACACACAAGGGATCCCGCATGCCAGGACCGAAATGTGTTCATGTGTGTTTTTCGTTTGTCTGCGCGTAAGTTTGGGAAACTACTGAAAAACTACCGAGAAACTCCGGAAAATTGCTAGGAAACTGATGGACACTATGGGAAACTGCAAGGAAATCGAAGGAAAGTGTAATTAAACAAAAGGAAACTAGAAATTCTGAAGGAAAACTGAGAAAAGCCGAAGGATATTGGAAGAAATCGATGGAAAACTATTGTAAGCAGCTAAAAGCTTGATAAAACAAGAACCATTACGCAACAATTTACACATTCGGCACTTGCTTCAACGCGCGTTCTTTAACTGGCCAAACTTTCTTCTGACCGAAGCAGTTTTTTCTTAATGATCATTTACCATGAGCTGGAGCTGTTTTCGTTACACACCTCACTGGCATAATGCTTTCCCTTGCTCACGTAATTACTAACCGGCATACACTCTCCAAAGATCCACAGAGGTCAAAACATTCAGCATAAAAGAAAGAATAATTCATTTTAAAACATTCGATGAGAGAAAACCGACGCTTAACCCATTAGAGCGTGCAATCTGACGGTTTAAGCGTCGTTTTTTTTATTTGTTCAGTCACAGATGACTCATCTGACCTAACGCTTTTTCTGTCAGGTTGTGCAACCTGACGGAAAAAACGTCAAAAATCGTCATTTTGGCGTCAGGTTGGATTTGTACTTTAAAGGATGACTCATAACCTGACGTTTTAAGAGTCAGATTATCTGACGGTTAAACCGTCAGCTTGGAATGGTTAAAGCGTGCGGTTCTTTTACGATGTGAACACAGTTAATTATTGCTTCAAGCATTTCCTCAATTCCTACAGTTGGTATACGATTACCAATTTCAATTTATAAATAAAAAACTGATCATAAGCCTATAGATTGTAGCCAAAATGTTACAGTAGTTAGTAATATAATTAGAAACGATCAAAAAACATATTTTAGGGTCGATTTCTTCTGTCACTGAAATATATCTAAAAGCGTTTCTCTTCTTCCGAAACAAAAGTCCGCAAAGTTTGGCTTGAGTGGTAAGTGTATGATCCTGATAATTCGAAGAAATACAAAAAGCAGATGGTACCCAACCAGCTTGTTAAATATTTTCAGCGGCGTAGGCAATGGAAATTGAGTGTAACCAACGTGCCATTTTTTTTAGTCAAAATATGAATGGTTATCCATTTCGAAATAAAAGATGACATTTTTAAAAAGAAACATTGCGAATCTCATCATATAGTTGATTATCTATGTTTTATCAGTTTCTAGTTATCGAAAGTCTCTGAATACGAGTCCAGAAGTTTATGGGAAATCCAATGTCATTCATCTACCTTTGAAATGAATTAACTATTAAACATCAGAATCTACCCACTCTGCACTGTCTACTCATAAAAAAACCGTGGACTTCTGTAAAAATCCTATCAAAACTCTATAATTGAAAAAGACGTTTATTTCATGGAAACACGCCCTTCAAACTCTTCTATCGATTGAAGAACGCTCCACATTTCTATATTTTTTCTAACGAATGTTATTCAAACGTAATTTATAGAATATTCTCTTTCGAAAAAGACTAGAAAGAAGAAATCATTTTTTTTCTTATTTTATATTATTTTGTCTCTGATATCGTTTCAACAGTATTCTTAAATTTCTGAACTTCAGTACAATTAAGTTAACATTTAGTTTCGTGTACAGCATTAACTTTAAGGCAACTCTAACAATATGTATTAATTAAGAGCTGTCTGAGTCAATACTTAACTTAAAATTATGTTTTGTGGAGTTAGAAGAAACTGGCAAGGTAGAACGAAGAGTTGCCTAGACAGACAATTAAGATTTTGGATGAAAGATCAAAAATTAAGTCAACTCTTAACTAAAATTCAGTCGACATTTCAGTATTCACTCGATTTTAGAAGCAACTTACAACATAAAGACTATGACCGATCGTCTGACATAGACGTTCAGTGTATGAGTAAAAAAAAAAAGTGGAGATGCCGAGCATCGATCTCGGTACCTCTCGCATGCTAAGCGAGCGCTCTACCATATGAGCTACATCCCCGTGTTAGAGTAATAATGTTTTATCTTACTGATGAAAATGATCAAGTCTGAAACGCTAAAATCTAGTACATCCTATAGCTTTAAAACTCATTTTATCTCGTTCTTTACAATCCCGTACTGTGTATATCACTGTAAAAAATAATTACGATAAAAAGTGGCAAAAAGCAGAAAAATGCAGGATCCACAATATTCCGCATCATGATGTTTATTTTGGAATATTCTACCATATTGTGAGCAAAATTTTAGTAAAATTCTCATTGTGTCTTAAAATCGTGCAAAATGCTGTGACAGTTTATAATTTTTATACACACAGAATGGAAATTCTGCTAAAAAATTTTGCTCACAATATACTCAGAATAAACATCACGATGCGGAATGTTGTGGATTCTGCATTTTTCTGCCTTTGCCACTTTTTTGCCTACTTTATTTTTTACATTGTGAATGTAATTGTTTAGTCGAACAAATTTAAACAACTGTTGCGACTATGGGTATATCTACATAATATCCGGATTCTCTTGTCTCAATGAAACAAACATTCACTCTTAGCTTATGTCAAGTTAACAACGACATTTTTTGACGATACTCATACACATAATTTATTTTCTAGGAAAACAAAAAAGAAACACCAAAAACAAAACTATATTCTCTCTGTTTCACCCGGATAAATTTTTATAAATAATCAAAAGCCAAAAATCGCTGTGAATGTTGCGGTAATTGTAATTTTTTCAATTCATTTCTATTGAACGTTATCATCGACCGTTTTATTTTTATTCGTAGAATATGTCGTAATGACCACGTTGATGTCAACTGTTTAAATACATCTGATAAATTAACTTGTCGTTGAGTATCACACATAATTTGTGCACACCATTTTGCCGTTGTTTTTCGTAATGGTATTTGTGCACCATATAAACTTAGAGCAAATAAATATTTTAATCGAATAAGTGCATGTTTAATGACGAGTGATGATGCGGTGGATGTATACAATGAAATCTGTTCAGCTAATTGTTTAATAAAATATTTAGCAATTTTTGAATCATCAAAATTTGTTCGATATTGAAATAAACATGTTAAACAATCAAAATATTGATCTAAATGTTGAATACTATCAATTAATGTTGAAACGTGTGCAAGAAGGTCATGAACATCTTTTTCATTTAATCGTGCTTCATGTTCTAGAAGTTCTTGTACAACAGATTTATCGAGAGTAATAATTGAATGATAAAGAACACTATTACCATCTGCACGAGAAGGTGGAGATAATTTATATTTTGAATTTACCAATAAACGTAACACCTAGTACATAAGAAAGAAAGAAAAAAATTATTCTCTTATAAAATCTAAGACATAATCGACTTTTTTAATTATGTTAAAAATGATAAATTTGATTCAATAATTGAAACATATGTACTTACTTGCATATGACCCCTCTGACATATTTCTTGTACAACTTTGGGCATTAAAACATGTTTTACATTCGATCCATATTTTATTAATAATTGACATACATCTAATTTTCCTTCAATAGATGCATAATGTAATGGATTATTTTTATTTACATCAGCTTTATAATCTTCAATTAATAATTCCGCTAAATCTAAATGTCCATATTCACAAGCTAGAATTAATGCTGTTTTTCCTTGTTTATCACATAGATTAATATAATCATTTTTACTAATATTGATACTATTTTCGGGTGATGAACTTAATTCCATCAATGGTAAACGGGAAGGTGGCTTATTTAAAATAAGTTTGATGAGTGCACGATGACCTTTCATAGCAATATAATGTAAACATGTCCAACCATTTTCATCTTGAATGTCAATTTGTGCATGATGTTGGAGTAACAGTTGAACAAGACCATAAAAATTACTAATACAACCAAGATGAAGTAGTGTAAGACCTTCATCATTTTGACGATTAATATTTATTTGTGATGTTGTACGAAGAATACATTGTGCACGTTCTAAATCACCTAGTAAACACGAACGATAAAATGTTTGTTCATTAAATGTGGAACCTAGTGCCAATGTTGTATCACTGTTACTATTATTATTGTTAGTGCTACTCATCAAGGTCAACATCATCTAAAAATTGAAATGAAAAATATCAGTTATTATATTAAAAATAAAACATTTCTTATTGATAATAATTAATACTCTCTGTCAACTAGAAACAACTTTGAAATCATTATTGAGAAAAATTGATTGATACTCTATATATTTTTCATTAGACAGCGGACTGTCAACTTTATACAGTCTTTCGACAACTCTTAGACTTTCAAATTTCAAGTGTTCTAGAACCAACAGTGAACGTACTACAATGAACTATCTTTTTATATCAATTATTGTCAATATGTATGAGATAGATATATTGATCATAACAAACCTATACACTTACACTTTATATTTTGATTACTTACGTAATATGTCTACATTGAAGAGAAACCTCAAAACCGCATATGCATTGATATATGATATTTTTCGATGATCAAACTATCAACATCAAGACATCATTTTTTTTTTTTTATTTGTTTCTCCTTCTCACTTTACAAGGTGACCAAACAGATAAGAAATCATCATCAAGGTAAATAATATATTAATAAACATCAGGCACCTTTTTATCCCAGAACAGATGTTTCAACGAAGAGGAAGATAATTAGAGAGATGATGAAGATTATATCATGTGTATATGAGAAGGACAGAATAATCTTTCATATTTATATAATGAAAATAAAAAAAAAAAACGAACTATTTATATTATCATTGTACTTTTACTCTCTATTATATAATTGTATGAAATAATTATTTACTTCTCTTTTCTCTTCTTTTTTTTTTTCTCTCACATAAACTAGAAAATACAAAAGGTCAACAGGTTGCTTGCACGAACGCTGCTACCATCGATCAATGATTACATTAACAAGCGAGGAAAAAGAAAAAGAAGAAGAAAAAAATTTGAACATGTTGGGACAGATAAAAAAACATAATCAATGCATCTGTGACTACTAGTGAAGGACAAAGAAAACATACTCATGTGCACGTTTTATTCAGTCAGTTTTGAGTACTTTTTCTTCGTTTCTCCAATAAATATTATGCATTTATATGTCTGATACTTATAACCGTGAAATCGAGGCTGTGTAATGAAAAACATACATGACAGACGGATTATATTAGGAAGTTGTTCTTGTTAAAATTTAATATAAATTTTCATCTGATCATTTCAAAATTTCTCTAGTTTTTAGATTGAAAGTTAGGTTTTGATAAATGATATTCAAGGAAGGAATAGATTTCAACATATTTTTAAGTAAACAATTGTGTTCAGGAACTTCTACAAAGTTCACAATTTTTATATGTTCTAGAAAATGTGTTCGTTAGTTGTACACTTAGGTATAGCGTGATATGATTGACAATCTATCTGTTTCAAAATCTATTCACACAAAAGTTTATAGTAGGTTGATTCAATTTTAAGAGATTCATGTAGAAGAGTAAGACGAATCGAAAAAGATATCACATTCAGCATCAAAAATAATCTCAAAAATTCTATTTTAAGAAAAAAATTGAGAACACTTTGTAAAATCCATACAAACATAGAGACATAAGTTACATAGTGAACAGATTTTTCTTGACTAGTTTGAGTTAGAGAGTTGCATCAAACATTCTATACTAACATATAACATGCTAACGATAAAAGCCAACTATATTATAGATACAAACAGTTGTGAACAATTTGTGATTGCTTCAATTTTTTCACAAATTCAATCTTATCTCAAAATCTAAACTATTAAATTTTTCACACTTCTTTTAAAAATTGAATATCAGTCGCTTCTCATTCAAGGTGTTTCTTTTAGGTAGTGATTCTTAATAGTTTAGTGATGAAATAATACCTTGAAGTAAATTTATACGCCCATGAACGACCACAGAATGAATTTATAATAGAGCAGATAATCTTCTCAACAGTATATTTTTTATAAAATATATTAGAATATACGAAACTTTGTGTTCTACCTCATCGAACACGCCATCCTCGATAAGGATGAATTAAACAAAACATTAGAAGGAGAAAAAAATAACATAGAAAAAGCCTTGAATATCATATGTATTCAAGTACTCACCTACTACATATCTCGATCACTATTGAAAACAACAGAAAAATAGTGGACACATGTATATATTAAGAAACGAGAGTCTATCTATCTATACATTACTGAAAAATTTTATTTTTTTTATTTGTTAGGTCAAATTAAGAGGAGAGACGAAGAATGAATTTGTTGTTTGTTTTATGTCTCTGTATTGTTGTAGTCGACATTAACAAACTACAGCTAATAATGAGAATGACGATGATGACGACAAAAAAAACACGCCGACACGTTTAAACATCATCTTCTCATTAGAATTATGATCATTATGCGGGAAGAGAGCGCTCACGTATATTACTCAAGACACTATTATATACGCCCTTATTATGTACAGACAAGGAAAAGAAAATAAAAAAAGAAAAATACTGGAATACAACAGTACCAACAAAACACGTACACATATCTAGATTACAGTATTATTATACTCTATCTATTACATTATAGAGAAGAAAATCAGAGATATTACCTCTTATAATAAATAGACTATGGTTAAATTCTTATGCTGTTGTTTTTACTGTATAAAGGCGAGAATAACTCGAGCATATAAAGTACAAAATATAACAATTTTATAAATGTTAAATGTATAAAATAAAAAAAAACTTATTAAGATATTGTGAATTTTATTATCCAGAAATAAGGTCTAAATTATATACAAATGTGTCAAGAAACACATTTAACCTAGAGGCAACTATAATTTTCTAATTTATAACGTTATTTGACTAGATTAAACTCCTCCATAAATTCAGTATTATGATCAAGTACTACTTCATTTGCTTACTCTTTGATTTATTCCTACCGGATATAAGAGTACATTGTGTAATTCTCAGCTGTTTTTTCGATAGATAGGCTGTTTCGTGGTTGTATTATACTAAGAACAAGCCTTTCTTTTCCTTCTCTCTTCTGTATATAAATATATATATATATATATATACGTCTGTTTTGTTTCTAGATGAGTACTGATCAAAAGAAAAATTTCAAAAAATCATTCTCTATACTTAAAACAATGTCATGATTTTTTTATTCTTCGTTTTCTTTAAAGGTTCTCCTGTAAATGGCAACCGCAATGATATGTGGCCATAGGAGAAAAAGAAGAAAAAAAAAATAAATTGTTTCGTCTTCTCTTTTAAGGGAAAAGTTTGGACGAAATAATGTGGTTGAAATGAAAGTGTGGTTTCTCTCTCAAATAGTTAAACAGAACTGTAAAAAGAAAATGGAATATTTTTTTTTACTAGACAAGTAAAAACAAAAAACACTTTCAATCGTGACCTCAAACAGGATAATGTAAAAAAGAGCTCGATAAAAATATGATAGATCATCAGAGTTCAAAGAAAGAGAAGGATAATAGTTATGATATAAGAACAGCGGTAGTAGTTCCAAAAAATGAATAGCTAAGTGTTCGATGGGAGCTGTGTTTATCAGCTCTAGTCATACACTAAAGTATAATCGAATGACTATTCAAGTCTCCACTGTGCGCATTACAACTACTCTGATCGGTTGAATCAGTACACGATGTTTGTTTTTCTTATAACGATTGTGATTTTTGGGCTCGAGATTTTTCATGATTTAAATAATTGAAGAAATAATAATCGTTATTGCCATAGCCAGTACAATTAGTAGGTGACCTGTACGATTAATCGTCAATTTTTTGTATGTGCACTACTTTCTGTCAATATCACAGCGCTTCGAAGATAGCTTATACAGAGCTGGGCGACGTGTCATATTCAAGAGCATTTTTTTTCTAGTTGGTGAGAGAACAAATGTTGATAGATTATCTCTTGTTTATAGACAAGCATCCAACGAAACGCTCCATCTACACGACTCGGTTTAATTATCTTACATCTGCAAAACTATCAAATATCTGGATTTGTTGAATAATCAATTTAAAGAAGAATATTTACTCTTTAAAATGGGATGAGTGCGAACTCTGTATGACCCATATGCTTAATACCTGCAAAATACCGACGGTTACATGGCGGTATATCGCCATAGTAAACGAAAATACCGTCCGGTATACCGGCGGTAATCATACGGTATGTCACTGTATACCGTCGATATAACCAGCGTGATACCCAGGAGTTCGAAATTAATTTTCAACTTTCTTCTTTTTATTGTTGAACGCCTGTAAGCGTAGCCAGGCTCTCGACTGAAAGAAATTTGACTAGCGTCGAGGTTCAAACTTTGACCAGTCTATATGATCTAAAAGAAAAGTTTAATCTGAGGAAACAATCAAGCTTCTCGAAATTTTCTGTTTCTTTTATATCTTCATGCGTGAAAAATACAATGGGGAATGGATAAAAACGGTTATCATGCGGTATTTTCTTAGACCGCGGGCTATAAATTACCGACGGTATTTTTTTGCACCGGCGGTATTTAAAAAAAAGCTCGACATGGGGAGTTTTCGTCGCCACACTGTAGCACAATCAATATGACGAAACGTAGCACACTCACAGCGCAACGCGGACAAGTTCTAGCGATGTCATGTAGACGATCAATTCATCATCCCCCCTACAGTGTAATTGATAACAAACGTTTCTTGTTATGTATACATGGATTTCTATCAATTGACGTTCTTATTGCACGATTGGTATAAACAAATGATTTATACTATGTTAGATCAAGAAGAAAAAACTTACACGTAACATTTCGATCCATACTCAGATCGAAGAATGTTGCTGTAAGATTCTTGTACGATTCCGTCTGACTTCGTAAGATTCGTCAATAAGAATTTGTAAGATTCTGTAAGAAACACAGAAACTGATTTTTGATGTAAGATCTTATAGTAAGATTTCGTAAGATTCTTGTATGATTTTCATAAGATTTTATAAGATCGTGTAAGATCTTGATCTGATTTTTTGACCTGGATATATGCAAATCATCATGTCGGTTTGAATCAAACTCATTTGTTGAACTTAAATATTCTATTAGTCTCACTACCTGGATCAAAATGTAGTA